TGCAGGGGACTGGAGCAGATGACCTTTTCATGTCCTTTTCATCCCTATATTTAAATGAGAACAGTGTGTGCATGAGGTAGTGAGGCCTGGCCTACTACATCTCACTTCGAGAGTTGTGGAGAGTGTACCTCTTCACACACTAACCCTCCTCTTCTCCTTTCACATCTCACCCTCCCACACATCAGCCTCACCATGTCTGGTGCCTGTGAACCAGAATGATTTCAACAATGTTTAAACCTATTTATATTTTCACCACGAGGAGAAGAACTCTGTTCACAAGAGATTTCCCACTAAAGAGTGTATTTAGTGATTACAACTATGGCAGGATTTTTCTTGATAGGACTGAAGATATCACTCAAGAATGGAGGTGGAGGGAATGAGCTGAGTAAGGATAGATAAAGGTCTGCCAAAAAGTTAAAAGGGTAACAGATTTATGAATTCCAACGCCAGAAGGAACCATTGTGCTCATCAGTCTGACCTCCTGTGTAGAACAAGGCCATAAACTTCCCCCAGTAGCTCCTAGAGCAGATATTTTAAGGAATCAGCTAATCTTGATTTAAAAATGGTCAGTGATTGAGAATCCACTGTGACCTCTGGTATAACTGGTCCAGTGGCTGTTTACTCTCATTCTTAAAAAAAATAAACGCCTTTATTTCTAGGCTTCAGCTTCCAGCCATTGGGGTGTGTTATACATTTCTGTGCTAGTTTGCAGAACTTACTGTTAAATACTGTTCCTCATGTCAATACTTATAGACAGTAATCAAGTCATCCCTTAACTTTTTTGTTAAGCTAAATAGCGTGAGCTCTTTGGGTCTGTCAATAAGCAGTAAGCATCACCTAGCAAGGGTTGTATCTGTAACCTCTCCCCTCCTGCTCAAGATTCCCATTTTTACATTCCAGGATTTTATTAGCTAAGCTCTTCTGGCCACAGTGTCTAACTGGGATCCCTTGTTAAGCTGATTATCCCCCAAATCTTTTTCAGGGTCATTGTCTTCCAGTTTAGTCATCCATCCTGTAAATACAGGCAGTCCCCGACTTACGCGGATCCGACTTATGTCGGATCCGCACTTACGAACGGAGCTTTCTGCCCCGGAAGTCGGGGCGAGAAAGCCCCGTTCGTAAGCTGCTCCGGTGCCCCTGGTCTGCTGGAGACCGTCTCCAGCAGACCAGGGGCACCGGGCGGGTTCCCGCGCTTCTGAGGCTTTGCCAGCAGACCACAGGCACCCAGATTGAAGCGGCAGCAGCGGCGGTTCCCCGCGCCTCTGAGGCTTTGCTTGTGTGACTTCTTGCTGGCCAGAGTGGCAGCTGAAGTGTTTGTTGTGATAGAGGATGGACCCCAGACTTGGGCTGTAAGTAGCCTTATTTCTAAGCAATTCACCCTGATTTGGCCCTCTCAGTGGTGCTCCCAGACCCGGTTATATTACACATGTTCAGTGTAGGAAAGCATCCGAATGTTTTTGCACCAAACACCTCAGAAAGAAGTATTAGGCCAAACACCGGCAAAGGCTTTCTTAACACACTGACATTGACTTCAGTAGGATGCCTGATAGTACATCAGATTAAGCTAACAAATAAATCTTTGAAGGCTTTGGGTTTCGAGCTTCATATTCATCTTAGTGCATACACGTTTTAATTCAAAATGGGGGTCCTCGAGTTGCTAAAGTTCAAGAACTACTGCTCTAGGCTATAGAGGGTTCAAGAAGGTGTCTAATGGTGTCTGTGTTAGTGCCCCAGACATTTTAGGATAACTCAGCTGAAAAACAAAACCACCTTTACCTTCTTGCTTAGACAGGGCTATAGACAAGATGGAAATTCTTTGAATCTACACCAATGTCACTGGAAGGTTTGGGTCAATGGAGCTATGTAAAGTTTAACAGGATTCTCTCATTTTCTCTCCCAGTAGTTGTCCATCTTCCATTCCACCCGCTGCGGGTCAGTTTCAGCAGCGGCTGAATCAGGATGCCTGGGCAGAGCAGATGGGGTGCTGCTGGGTTGGTCCAGTAGCACCCCAGCTGCTCTGCCCCAGGCGTCCCCAAGTCAGCTTCTGCTGAAACTGACCAGCGCTGACTACAGGAAGCCCCAGGCAGAGTTGCTCTGCCCCAGGCTTCCTAGAATCAGTTGCTGATCAGTTTCAGCAGCAGCTGACTTGGGGACGCCTGGGGTTCTTAAGTTGATTCTGTATGTAAGTCAGAACTGGCGGTCAGTTTCAGCAGTGTCTGAATCTGGACGCCAGTTCCGACTTACATACAGATTCAACTTAAGAACAAACCTACAGTCCCTATCTTGTACGTAACCCGGGGACTGCCTGTATGGCCAACATTCTTAGCCCCAGAAGTATACATTTAGCCATATTAAAACACCTACTGTTTCCTTGTACCCAGTTTACCAAGCAATCCAGTTTGCTCTCAGTTAGTGACCTGTCTTCTTTGTTATTTACCACTTTCCCGAGTTTTGTGTCTTCTGCAGACTTTAAATGATCATTTTATGTTTTCTTGTACATCATTGATAAAAACGTTGCAGGGCCAAGAATTAATTCCTGAGGGATCCCATTGGAAACATATCCACTTGATGATTCCGTGTTTACAATTTCATTTTGAAAGCTTATTAGTTAGGTAGTCTTAATCCATTAAATGCGTGCCAGAAAAACTAGTTGTTTTGGTTGCCCCAGATCTGTGCTGACCACGGTAATTATGAGCAGCAAAGCAGGACATCTAGATATGTAGGTCATCTCAAACAACTGCCAATACAGACTTTATAGAGACCAATCACTTAGTTTATGCTACTTACAGTGTGCTGCATCTTATTAGTCCTGTTAAAATGATCTTCCATTGTTCCAAAGTAAATTAGTTATATAAAAACAATAATTTGTATGGGTATATCCAAAAGATCATGAAATGTTAGATTATATAATGGACTGAATTTTATTAAATGCAAACTATACATTTAACTAATATTTGTATTTATTACGTTATAAATGTGTGTGATGCTTTATAAATAACTAAAAGGTGTTCACAATTTTAGGATCTGATCCTGCAAGCCTTTACTCATATATGCAGTTGTAATCCATTTAGTTTGTAGGATTGGGTTCTAAAGTATGAGGTGACAAGGAAAAAAAATAAATATATGGGGGGTAATGGAGAGACAGGATACATAATATCATTAGATAATATTTGTATAATATTCCAAAAATAGACAATGGCCCAAAGGTCATAGACTAAATGCACAAAAGTATTTAGGCTCCTAAATGCCCCTTGAAATTGAGGGATCAGAGCCAGAGTGCTAAGAACTATTGTTATAAGGTGGTTCTCATAAGTTACAACTAAATGTATAATAAGTTACAACTAAAAGCATTTTATGGGACCTCTTTAATCTGACAGTCCTGGGAAACAAAGTTTGCTGGAGTAAAGATTTTGCTGGGCTAGGGAGGGAGGAAGGGAGGGGAATGGGTGTAGGGTGCTTTACCTGGTACTCCATGTCTCCAGATGCTCTGAGGAACTCCTGCTCCCCTCCTCCCCGGTACGAGAGTGATATTGAAAAGCCTCTGGCAGAGCGCCTAGCTGTGCTGCCATTCTCCCAGCTGAGCCGCTTCCACCTGTCAGGGTCCATACCATGGGGGTTCCCAAATAGGGACCCCCAGAATATAGAGGTTATAGTGTAGTACAAAACTACAGTAGTTTTATATTTGTTTATTTTAACCAGTTAAATTTAATTTTAAAATAAAATGGGAGACGGAAGTATTCATGTGCTGAAGCAAATTAGTATTAGTAAATAATTAGTAGTAAATTCAGTCATTGAGAGGGGTATTATTAAAGTTTAGGAGCTATTGGATTAATTGTTACAACCTAGCTCTATACTAAGATCGTATAATTTGTATTATGAATGCTGTGGAAAGATTTAAAATTAGCACATAATCTGTTTACCCTCATGTACAACATCTCCATTAACATTAATTAGAGCCTCATGATTCAATCCCCATATGCTTCACAGAAAATGTGCCACAATCATGTGGGAAAAAATACGATAAAGGGATGAGTCTCTCTTGGAATGCTGATGATCAGCTGATGATGCTGAAGGCTCCACTTCCGCAGTGAGATCTGAATATGTGGACCCTAGTAATCAGGGTCTGCACGGATATAGGGTCTACCTTCATGGACCTGAAAGCTTGCCTCAGCTATCATTTCCAGGGCAAAAAATGTAAACGGTCAGGAGTTTTCGTAAAATGAAATGTATTGACAACTCGGCCTCATTAGAGTCATTAGGAGTTTTGCCACACATGCTTAGGCTGTATTCACAGTAAGAGGTTCAGGTGAAATTCCCAGCAAATGTACACAAACTCACACTAACTGTCTTTGAGGCAGTGGACTAAAATCAGTAATGTAGCTGTGGTAGTATGTGCAGCTATGAGTGGCAGGACAGGTTAGCCATACCAAGTATGTGCCCACTGGGTTCAGGAGGGTTGGTACTAATGGCAGCTAGCCTGTGCTGCTGTTTGCCACTGCCTGTGCTAGCACAGCTACACTCCTGCTTTTAACACACTAGCTTGTGGCGAGCTAGCACAAGAATGCCTACACAAGCTGGGAATCAACCCCCAGCCCTAAGTATAGCTGTACCTTTAGGCTATTTGCATGAGTTGCGATCTCATTTGCATATTTTTTGCCAATCCATTTTTGCGATAGGGGTTTTTGCGCAAAAACAAGCAGTGTGGATGTTTTATTTTTGTGCAAAAAAACCTTTTTCTGCAAGATCCTTATGCCCCCTAAAAAGGAGGTATATCGAGGCTTTTAGACTTTGTCTGCTGGTAGGAGAGGGGACAGAGAGAGTGATTGAACAAGGGGACTAAAAATAAGGAAATGTTTTTAAAAAGCCTTTTGAAATACATTATTAATATTTTAATTTCACCTGAACCTCTTTTCAGCATGTCATCTGTATAATAAACCATTTTGCAATTTGGTTTTTGATTGCTCCTCTTTTTTTTTTTTTTTTTTTTTAATTTCTTATAGCAACAGAAGATTATCACCGTGTAGCTCAGCATGCAAACAATGGACAAGCCATTACAGCTTCCTGCAAAAATAAAGATACAGACCTGCAGGCTAAAATACAAACCTATATAGATCAAAACACAGTTATGATCTTCAGTAATGCAGCATGCAGTCTCTCTGCTAAGGTAATGTGTTAATTTTCAAGCAGAGATAGACAGGATTTGTCATAGCTTAATAAGTCCAGTTTCTTTCGATTTTAATAAAGTAACTGAGATGCAAATCCCATTGACTTCAGCATGACTCCACATGGGCTGTAGAATGCTATATTTACAGATGTTTTCCATTTGTAAATTAAGCTGCCAGGGCTAAATTTTGGTGCTTCGTCCCAGCCCATTCATTCAGGACCTGATACAATACTGGAGTTTTCCTGCTTACATCAAGGGTTTGGGCAGGCCTCAGATACGTAATCCAGATGAGATTTCTTATTCATTCTGGTATGGAATCTATCATCCCTTTGTCAATGCCTCCTCTTGAGTTACATTGCTTCTGTAATACCCTTGCTTCGCTATTTAGAGATATTTTTGAAAAGTTACTAATTTATCTGGTTTGTTCTTTGGAGAAACAGAACTGTGAAGAAATAGTTCCTGTCTTTTGTGCCTATTCATTGGGTTTGATTAACTAAGGATTTTCTTTCTGTTAAAAGGTGACTGCTTTTTTTTGTCATTATGGTAACTTGTAAACAAGTTACAGGCAGTCCCCGACTTATGTGGATCCGACTTTTCTCGGGGCTTTTCTCACCCTGGAGCTCGCAGGTGGCGGGACCGCCCAGAGCGCAGCGGTCCTGCCACCGCGTCCTCCGGGGCGAGAAAAGCTGCTCCGGGTCTTCCTGGTGTGCTGGGGGGACTCCTCAGCACAGCATGGAGACAGGAGCAAAGCCGCAGAGGCGGGGGACCCCGCCGCCTCTGCAGCTTTGCTCCGGGTCTCCCTGGTCTTCTGGGGGGGGGTGGCGCAGCTAGTGCGCCCCCCGCCGCAGCAGACCAGGCTTTTGTTGTGGACGCCTGGGGGAGG